TTATCTTTTTAATATCTTCCCATTGCATGTTCTTAAATTTTAGCTGTACTTGAATACAAAAGAAGACAAATCAGTATAACAAATATTTTGGCAAATGTAATGAGAAAGGCTAAATAATTTCCCCATATTTGAGTACCGTGTAAAAATGAAAATATAATGTTTGTCCATTTACACAATTTGAGTGTATTTTCTGAGAAAGTATGTTTAATTTTTTTTTTAAAAAAAGTGGAATTTTCAAGTAAGTTTCTGAAAAAGATTGAAATATTAGTAAAGTACAAAAGTGTTTGGTTAGATGGGCATGTAGTTATTTTTTCTTTATAATTGTGAATGAAAAATCACTAGCTCAGAGTTTGGGTATGCAATTTAATATTCTAAACACATGGACAATTTCCATATATTTTCTGTCATTGTAATTCAGTTATGGTATTAGATGTGCTGGGCTTAATATTAATGAAAAGATGCTTAAGCAAGAAAATATAAAGAAGGGAGTCTGGAAAGATTCCCTCAAGCAAGGTTCTTTCCAGGCTCCCTTTTTGTATTTCCTTTTTTCGATTGAATCAAGATCCTAGCTATGATCTTTGATATAGGAGAAAGGGATGGGAATTGGGAATTGCAGATTATCCGTAACATTCCAGCCGATTCTGTTTATAGAAGTGACTTTAAGCACTCCTCAGAAGCTTGATAAGGGTAAATGAAGGTAAAGGGATGGAAAATTTATTTGCATGTATCCTTTTGTTGTCCCAAATTTTGGACTACTTTTTGCTATGTTTTTTTTTGCAGTTCCTCCCGAGAAGCCTACAAACTTGAGCTGCATTGTGATTCAGACACAAGTAACAACCTTTATTCAAAGATGTTCCTGGGAACGTGGAAGAGATACATTATTGCGCACTAATTATTTTTTAAAGTATAGGTGGTAAGTATATTTTAAAACGAGCTACTAATTTCTTGTATGTATTCAATTAACTTTAAAGGAACTTCTAACCTTTTCAAATTAATGGTTTCATATGGCAAACCTGAAATGTTTTATGCAGCCAGAAATTGTGGGATCAGTTATCCTGTGAACTGTAAGCAATTCTAACAGTTTGTTCCAAGAAATGTTCCAATTTGAGTAAAGGAGAACTTAATTCAGTTTTAAGCTGACTTCTTAGAGTAAATTTCATTTAATTATGTGATATTTGGTTGTGATTAATTATGCCTCAGATTGTGTGAGTGTGTCCTTGTAGATACATTATTATGATGTCAAGATATTAATACATTTAATGTATCAAATGTGTTTCCTTATGTAGGCCAACTAAAGTATATCCTGATTGTATACCTCAAGACAGTAATAATTATTGTACCATTTCTGATGTCGTCTTTTTTGTCACCTTGGAAATGTGGGTAGAAGCCAAAAATGAACTTGGAGTAGCTGAATCTGACCACATTGAATTTGATCCCATAACTTATGGTAATTATGCTCCTTTCCATTAACTAATGTTAGAAGACTCTCATTAATTGTTTCACTTTACATTTGAAATCTCTTTCTCCTCCCACAAATAGTCTGGATTTGAAGAAGAATATGACTCAGAACATCTGGGCCTCTTGTACATAAAATTTGTCAACAGCTCCTTAGAGTACGTGAATGTTTTTCCTGGGCTCAGGCAGCTTCATTTAATCCAGGGGTAGGCAACCTTGGCTCCTTTATGACTCGTGGACTTCAACTCCCAGAATTCCTGAGCCAGCCACACTGAGGGGGGAAAGGGAGAGGTTTCCAAGCTGAGCCATGCTGGCTCAGGAATTCTGGGAGTTGAAGTCCACGAGTCATAAAAGAGCCAAGGTTGCCTACCCCTGATTTAATCTATATATTAAAAAAGCATTTGGTTAAATGAATTGCCAATAGGGACTATGAGCACTTTCGTGCATGGTCCAAATCTTAAATGTCAACAAGTATATAGTTCTAAATGCAGAACGTTGGGGTTGAAATTATTGGAATCTGTATATTTAACAATGAAACATTTTTTCTCTCTTTGTTCCTAGTGAAACCACTGTCTCCACATAAGCTTTCCGTCAATTCAGGAGAATTTCCTAGAATCTTAAGGCTGTCATGGGAAAACAGATTTAATGAAGCTCAACAATTACTAAAATATAAAATTCAATATAAGATCTTGAACAGGAATGATTGGAATGAGGTAATCCTATAGCTATTTTTTATTATGGCAGTGTCTGTTTTACTGTACAGGTAGCCCTCAATTAACAACTGTTCAAAGTTATGATGGACCTCATGGGGTACTTATGACTTGATTACAAGGTTATGATGACCAAACTTCCCCCCCCCCACAGTCACATGACCACATTTGGAGCATTTGTCAACCAACCCACATTTATGGCTGTTTGCAGTGTCCCATGGTCACATGACCACATTTTGCAATATTTTTGTTGATAACTTGGCATTTACTTTCAGTTTTTGGCAAAACCAGCCCCTAGTGAACAATTGTTTCACTTAATGACTGATGCAAAAAAGGTCATAGAATCAGACTGTGCTTGGAAGAAACTCTATAAATATTGTAGATCTCAAAACAATTCTGCATGGAAGTCTGGGGGGAAAATCTGGTTAATGTCAGAGGCTGGTAGGCAGTTAAGAAATGCCTACTTCAAATTACTTCTACCAGATATTAGTACCAAGGAAATGGATATATCTCTTAATTTTTTGTTGAATAAATAATTGCAGTAAATACTATTTTTGTTTGATTATATCATCTTTATCTTTGTTTACTGTTTGGATGAAGATAAAATATTGATATCCAATATTGATATATGTTTTTAAAAAAGTTTACATGCAATGTGTTTACCTTTTCACATGACTGTATAGATAGTCCTCGACTTATCACTGCAATTGAACCTGGAATTATGATTCTAAGTTGTGGCATTCAGTAAGTAGGCCATTATGTGACTCTGCCCAATTTTATTGCTTTTTTGTGGCAGGCATTAAGTGAAACCATTTTCCCCAATGGACTTTTTTTTGCCAGAAACTGGAAATAAATGCTTGTTTCTGGCAAAAAAAACATAAAGTGCGGTGTAACTGTGGGATGCTGCAAATGGCTGTAAATGCCCTTTTAAGACTTTAAAAAAGAACATACAACTTGGCAGTTTTAAAATCATAATGAGTGAGTATCATAGTATCATAAGACTTACAAAATTCAGCTTTATTTTCAGATTCCTCCTGAAGATACAGCTTCACCGAGAACTTCATTTACTCTCCAGGAACTCAGGCCAAATACAGCATATCAGATTAGACTGTGTTGTGCAGTTTCTTTGTCAAAGTACTGGAG